GCACCAGAGTGCCCTGTGGACAGGTGCACCAGAGCGCCCGTGGACAGGTGCCCCAGAGCGCCTGTGGACAGGTGCACCAGAGCGCCTGTGGACAGATGCAGAATCTCAGACAGAGTTATAGAAACCACTGAATTATCTCCAAAGGTTCAAAAAGCGTTCAATACAAAAACAACTGGACTTTATTTGTAACAGAAGACGTTTCGCTCCTCATCTGAGGAACTTTATTTTTGTATTGAACGTTTTTTGAATTCATGTCCTGGATGACAGAATCTTCACCAGCATATCTCCAAAGGTTGAGCAATTAAATATTACGTTAAGGTACCATCGTTTTTGTCAAAGCCAGTTTCATTCACTGACATAAACAAATACATATAACAATAAAAATCAAGTACTTGGAGAGTACTGTGTAAATACCAACCCAGTAGTTTTGGTCATCATGACCCATTTCGTACAGTTTTATTCTGAGACCATCTCACTGCCCTGTAAAGAGTTAACTGAACATTACCGGAGACGTTGTAGTAGCGTCCGAAGGCCGTGTCTTTGGGGATGTCGGGGTAAAGATACATCAGAGGGTTGAAGCTCTTTTCATGGGTGGTCAAAGTGTAGCGGTTGATGGCGTCCGGCAGAGATAAAACGGACAGCTCTTTCTTGGTGTACGGCTGTACGGCGTGCACACGTGTGTCTGTAAGGAAGCCCAAGGAGGAAAATATTTGACCCAAGGGCAGCAGAAAGACCATTTTGGGTTTTAGGGTCCACTCATTTCTAAACTAATTGCTATTCTGTGACACCTTACTGAAATCAAAATATTAAAGGAGTATTTTCACAAATGCTAGGAGACATTTGAGAGTTTAATGGTGTGCGTTTTTATTTTCCATTTTTTAATCCACTAACTACTTCTGCAGATTTTGCACTCTTTTAGCTGTTCACTTGTAAAAACATTTAGCTCATCCAGCAGATGGGTGCTCTGACTTTTTTTCTGACAAGTAGCATTGTGTCACTTTAAGCTAGCCTTTTGTTACATTCAGTTTGTAGACACCATTTTGCTACTCTGAATTTTTAGCTAAGCTTTTAAGACATTTAGCTTTTAGGTCACCTTTTGTAAATTTTAGCCATCATTTTGCTACTTTTATTTAGTTTTTCCATTTTCTTTACCAGCTCAGTTTCAGCTCTCAGCGTTGACATTAAATTTGTATTTCTGACGGCTCAGATGCAAACCTCCACTGGAGTGGTCCACCCAGCTGAAGGTGATGGCTCCATCTTGGATGCTCTCACTAAACCGGATCAGAAAGGTCCCGGTCGGTTTATCCTGCAGCAGGATGCTCGTCCTATATCGGCTCACGAACCCCATGATGGCTCTGAAACATGACAAAAGTGCCAACACAGTGGACACCCGCTGACATTTTATAATACTTAAATGATCTGAGATGGTCTTACCCGACACGCCAAAGATCCGACAAGTGTTTTTTAATCAGATCCAGGATTCCGTCGATCCAAATCCAGACATTTTCATCCTGATGCACAGGAAGAAGGAAAAGGTCTTACAACCAAACGTAAAAATTTACTGCATATATGCTACATAAACCTTTTAAAACGGGTAAACAAAGCCAAGTTTGTTGAAACTAAACCAAAACTAAAAACAGTGCATTATTTAAGTAACTCTCATCACCGCCGCCTTGCCAAAGATTACCTCAACATCTGCAAAACTGACCGAGTTATAGCCATTTTTTTAATGTTTGCTAACGATATTTAGCTGTGGCAGCCATCATGAAATGAGTTAATCAGTTATAAATGTATTCTCTTTATTCAAATCTGTTATCATCTAAAACTTAAAAAATGTTTGAAATATGTCTACGTGACCCTTTAAAACAGTTTGAAGGAGGTAATTTAGCAAAATAAGACCCATGGTGTCACTTTTGTGTTACAAATTTCTACAAGAACTGTCGTACTATTCGGCGTATTGTTTTTGCACTACTAAGTGTTTAGCATATTCTTAGTTTCGTGTTTTTCTTAGTTCATATCTTAAATCTTATTACGGTTTTTCTTTAACAGTTTACACTTTTGTTGGATGTAACTGGGACCCTGTGTACACAATTTCATTCCACCACATGTACCACATGAGATGTGAATGACAATAAAGAAAACCTTGACCTTGGTATACTACACGGCTGTCACACTGGTACAATCTAATGCTTTTTTAAAGATTTAGAGCTTTATAGACTAAAAATATATGCAGATACATGCTGCCAACAAATAAAAGGAAATGTAACTCCCCCAAATTTAAAACACAACAAGGCCAGACAAAAATACACTTTTCATTTGCCATTTCTAAACTACCGGTAATAAACCAAGAGCCATGAGTGGATGCCAAAACTGACTCCCAAACACAAAAACAAAATCAAACATGAAACAACGATGCAAAAAAAAAAAAACAGTTTGGCTACAACATTTTTCACCTTGGAGAACTTGCTCCAGTGCACAAGACCTTCAGGATTATCTGTGACATAACAAAAAAAAAAGAATAAATTACAAGTCTAAAGACACAAACTGACACAACACAGTCAAAACATTGTTAGGAAACACTTTTAGGTTCCTCTTTCATCGTGGGATGGGACTTCTTGCTTATACGGATGTGAGGGTACGATCGGTCTTTTCGGCTTCCACGTTCAGAACATCTAGGAAGACCTGCCGAAGACTCACCCACAAACTTGTCTCTGAGCATGGAAAGCTGATCCTCATCAAGCCCTCGCTGGCCGACAGACAAAAACTGCCAGCTCAGAAGTTGTGACAGCTGCTGCCAGGAGATCGGAGGAGGATCGGCAAACAGCGACAGGTTCTGAAGGACAAAGTCCACAACTTTTAACACGGTTTGGACTGGGTGGAACAGTTTCTGCTGATGGTAAAGAGACAGACTTTACCATTGGTCCATTGGTGGACAGCATGTTCCACCACATGATGGAGGCCCAGGCACTGGGAACCTGACTGGAACTGGAGACAACAACCACCGGCAAGGAGCTAGCCTGTACCGACACCAAGGGAAACCCGTCAAACTGTTGTTATAGGTGTAATACCAAAGAACGCTACCTCTAAAGTCACAAATTTGAAACTGAAACAGAAGAGGTTCAAGTGTTTCTTACCTCAATGTTAAACGTCTGCCCAGCAAGTTGCAAAACTGTCACAAATCGTAAAATGTGGAGTTCTTCAGTGACTCCAACAGGACTCTTAATAAAAAAAGATAAAATACTCTTAACTATGGTGCAATCCTCCTAAACAGGAAGCAAATCACATTTGTGGTGTTCAAGATGCAGTCTTTCAGTTTATTATCTGGGTTTTAAACCAATTAAGAGGTCAATGCCTCACCATCAACCTACAAGAGCAAGCAAGAGTTGTGTTCACAGGTGAAGGACACAGGGGACACACATTGGAGAGATTGGACGTCTGGTATGGGGGCTACACTCATAACAAAGCTTTCTAAACCCAGTTAAAGGAGGCTGCATTTGAAGAAAGTAATTACACCAGCATATTTACCGTTGGTGCAACAAATGGGGGATACCCTGAGGGAATGAAGCAGATGGGGTAGATGTTCTGCATGGTAGCAGTAAATGGACTGGCATTTAGGGTCAGGAATACTGCTCGAGCATGATCCTGTGGAACCTACATCTGTCGCAGTTTTGGGGGACAACTTTGGCTCCTTGGGCAATGCACTGGACCTCTGACTTCCCCTGATACTGTACACTTTTTGATGTATGAGTGAGAATATTAAAGGATTTTTAACATTAATTAATTTTCAGCCACTCATCCATGGTTGAGTCAACAGATCCAGCTCCATCTCTCCAGCGTCACTATCCAGATACTCCTGAAGGATCCCAAGATGTTGCCAGGCCAGAAAGGACATATACACTCTCCAGGGAGTTTTGGGTCTGCCCAAGGTATCCTCCCAGTGCCTGGACAACCTCCAGTGGGAGATGTCCAGGAGGTGACATAATTTGATGTCTAAATGACCTCAGGTGATTTGTTTTGATGTTGGAGTAGCAGAGGCTCTACACTCCCCTCAAATGATGAAGCTCCACTAAGCTAAGCACGACCACCCTCTGGAGGCACAATTCACCTCCTTGGATTCAGGATCTCATTTCAGTCATGATCCACAGCTCTTGACTATAGGTGAGTGTTGAAACAAAGACTAACCAGTAGATTTAAGGCTTTGTCTTTACGCTCAGCACCTTTTTGGCCTCAACACGGTGGACATGACTCGTATCCATCGGCTCACCCTACCATCATTCATAAACAAGACTTCTCGAAACTTGAACTCCTCCGTTTGAGACGGAGTCTCTTCCCCAATCTGTAGGGATTGTTCCGCTCTTTTCCTGTTAAGAACCATGACCCTGGACCTAGAGGAGCTGATGATGATTTGAAGACCCAACAGAACCACATCATCTGCAAAAAGCAGATGAGAATTTGGGATGGCAACACAGTGGCTCAGTTGGTAGAGCTGTTGCTTCTCAGCAAGAAGGTCGCCGGAACGAATCCCGGCCCGGGGCCTTTTCTGGGTGGAGTTTGCATGTTCTCTCCATGCATGCGTGGGTTTTCTCCAGGTACTCCGGTTTCCTCCCGCACTCCAGAAACATGCATGTTAGGCTAATTGGTAACTTAAACTAGGTGTGTCAAACTCACTTACAAAAGGGGGCCAAAATTAAAACCTTTTTCAAACTAAGAGCCAATTTCAGAAACTACATAAACTCAAATCAGATACCCAACATATTTTCTTGGTCACGGGTTCCTCAACAAGAGTTTGACTGGTCTCATTTAATGTTCTCCGTTGTGCTTTCAACATCAAAATCAAAGATTACTGAAAAAAATTCAAGCGATAGAAGTATTTTACGTTTCGCATATCATCTTGGGGGCCAGATAAGAAGTCAACAAGGGCCACATTTGGTCACCGGGCCTCGAGTTTGACACATATGCTCTAAACTGCCCCTAGGGGTGAGTGAGAGAGTGAATGGTTGTTTGCCTTGTTTGTCTCTGTGTCGGTCTGGAGACCTGTCCAGGGTGTACCCAGCCTCTCAAACAGTGACTGCTGGATATGGGCACCAGTGACCCAAAAAGGAAGAAGCCGGTAAAGATGATGGATGGATGAACAGACTTTGAGGTTGCTAAACCAGACACGTCTTCACATCTTATCCTGTCCAAACACCACTGAGTTTGAGTCCATTGACTCCATTGAGTCCACACATTGACTCCAAGACCTACCAGGAAAAAGTCTGTCTTTGTGCCAGAAATACATTCCTCAGTTCTTGGTTTGGTTCTAGGACCAAAAAGCCTTTAGAACCAACCCAAGCACCCCAACAGAATGCTTCAAGTGGTATATTAAAAAATATGTATATACAATTTGAAATACCGGTAAATGTTTTTTCTTACCTCATGCAATCCTTTAGTTCGTTTAAGTTTTTCTTTGAGTGACTGAAACAAACAAGAAAGTCGTTACTTACACTGATCCAAAGATCAACAAAAATTCAAGATGAAGAAAAAAAAAACTGAAGCTATTTGGAGTTTCACACCATGTGCTCAAATTCTGCCACCAAGCCTCCACCTGGTGAGTCCACATCCAACACCTTACTGTTGTCCCTGGTGAAGTCAAAGTGACGAAACCTGCAAACAAAAAGATAAACGTAAAGTAAAAATACTTAAAAAAAAAGATTAGATTGTATCTAAATTCGATGGTTTACTGACCCAGTCTTGGCTTCGTCAACATCCCTTGTTTTGAGGGAAAAAAATTAATTTATTTTGCTGAAATTGGCAATATTTACTTTATTGTAAATGATGATAAATATTATAGATTTATATCAGATATTTATTAACTTACTTGTCAAATACAGGTTTGACTTTTAGTAGAAACTTAAAATCAGGAAGGTTTGCCAAAAACCTGAAAAACAGAAAACAGACCATAAACTCAGAGTATAAGTTGGGGAGGACTCTCATCTACTACCACACCAAATTTTAGCTCAATATCTGCAAAAACTGGTTCATTAGAATCAGATTTTCATGATGTTGATTAACTGTGGCAGCCATCTTAAACTGACTAAGAGTTAACTGGTCATAGATGTAGCTCAAATGATTACTTTCTGACTTAAATGTGTTCAGTGGTTCATGAGATATTTTGCTAACAGTGCAAACAAATGCTCAGACATGCGCTAAACTAATATTGCCCTATTTAAATGTAGTTAAACTGAAGAGTCTTATCTCAATGTGTATTTTAAGGTTTATAGCGTGTTTAATCTTTACCAGTTTATTTTTTATGTTCCTAAAAAAATGTATTATATAAAACTGCATCATGTTGCTGATTTCTGATTTATAAACCGGTCAACTTGGTTCAAGGATATGCAACGACTTGCTGCATTCCTGGTGGATTTTGGTCAACAATAATCATCGGTTGTTCGTACAACTCATTGATTTTTGTAATTCAATTCAAATCCAAGATGGCTGCCACAGCTAACTGACATTAGCAAACACAAAAACGATTTTAACTCAGCTAGATTTGGATATTAGCTGATAGGCATTCCCGAATCATCCAAATACTAACGAGAGTGCAAAGATTTCACAATATTGTGTAGGGTTACGTAATTTTCAATGAAATGGACTTTTTATTTTTTTATTTATTTAAAACAAAGATCTTGATGTTTTGGCCTGAAAAGCATCAGGTGATGTACGTTCCTTCAAGGAGCTTCATTTCGTTTCTCAATAGCTCTGCTGCCCTTATTTAACTCTTTCGAGCCTTAAATTTGCCCCTTTCTGTGAATATGTTACGGCTGTTTTCGGTCTTACCGTACGGTAACCTTGAATTGCACCCTGGTCTTCAGTATGAGAGGCCGCTGTGGTAAATTCTGCATTATGGGTTGTTTCTCCACCACCAGAGCACTGCAACACACAACCTCATTAACATTTATATTAACAGAATCTCTGTGCGTTAAATCCAAAGAAGGGTCTTGATTTGGGTCGCATAAGGGCGTAAGGTATCCGATAAGTTTCCAGAACTCTTCAGAAACTTTCCATATTTCTTTGGAATTAACTGGAAATTGGGGGTAATTTAAACACTGTATCATAACCCCCCCCCCCACACACACACACACACACACACAAAATTGTTTGGATATAAACAAATAATAAATTTGACCCATATTTTATGAAAGTAGTACATTTCATGGACTATTTTGCATCTGATAGAATATCCTCAATTTTCAGATGGATTTTGAACATTTTTAGAGTTTAATCTGTTTTTGTTGACGTAGTCCTTTTTTTTTTTAAACTCGTGCGCAACTTTGAACAAAACTTTACGAGACATTAGATAATTATTTTGGCTTTTTCCTCATTCTATAGCTACATTAAAAAAACTTTTCTGTAAACTGCAATTCACAACAAAACTGTTACATTAACATTTACCATTACATGTTCCCATCAGTCCCCAAACCACGTCCTCTTCATTCTCCACACCACATCCCCCTCAGTCCCCACACCACGTCCCTTTCAGTCCCCACACTACACCCACCTCAGTCCCCACACCACGTCCCATCAGCATCAGCCCCGACACCACTTCCAGTGTTTCCCCTATCATTATACAAGCGGGATGCCCCACCCCGTAAACAGAACTGATCCCCCACCCGGCACTTACATAGTGCTAAGCTAGCAGCGCGCAATACAGGCGCTCTAGCTAAAAAGCTAAAGGCACCTCTTCCCTCATGCTGAACGCCCCCCGCCCAAAAACAGTTGGTACAAGCTATGCTCTGACATGTCTCCGTCCCCCCAGTCAACAAAAATCATGGATGGGATGAGCACCCCACCATGGCAAGTTAGCTAGAGGAAACACTGACTTCCCTTCCAGTCCCCACACCACATCCCCCTCAGTCCCCACACCGCATCCCATTACCATCAGTCCCCACACCACGTCCCATCAGCATCAGTCCCAACACCACTTCCCTTTCAGTCCCCACACCACATACCCCTCAGTCCCCACACCGCATCCTCCCCAGTCCCCACACCACGTCCCATCAGCATCAATCCCCACACCACATCCCCCTCAGTCCCCACACCACGTCCCTCTCAATCCCCACACCACATCCCCCTCAGTCCCCACACCATGTCCCCTTCAGTCCCCACATCACGTCCCTCACAAGGTGCAGTACCCCTCACTGCAAGGTACAGCAGTTACACCTGGTTGTTTTAGTCTAGATTGTGCTAAAATGTATTTTCCCCAAAACAACTTTAAACATTTTAAATTATTTGTTTTTATCCCCAAAAATTCCTGTTTATTCACAAGGAAAGTTTCATGGACGGTGAAAATTTCCAGAGTTTTGCAACCCTTATCTTGACGTCACAACTTACTTTGTGAGAAGCTTTGTGATCAAAAAAAGGGCAAATTTATTGAGCTCTGCAATCGGAGCAGAGATGTCGGCTCTGCTGTATTTCTTGTTCTGGTCCTGCAGCTTCTCCAGCTGCTCACGGACTCCGAGCAGCACCTCAGCAACAGCCGTGAACCTGCAAACACGCAAACGCATGCAGGATAGTTGCTTTAACCGGAGAGCAAACCTAAGACTTAACCAACGTACGCCCTTACCACTTCTGGAGGAGTTCCAGACTGGTGTCCACTGGACTTCCAATGCAGGACAGCTGCTGCCTGCGCTTCCACTCAGGAAGCTCCTCGTTGGTGAGCGTTGCCACAGTTTGGGCCATTTCATTCAAAATGTTCACCAACTGCTGCAGCACAGTCTGACAAATGTATAGGTAAAATAAAAATAAAAAAGAGATTTTAAGAAAATGCATTTACTACGAAAATAGAATGTGCCTGCTGAGTTATAAAGAACTTTGCTTAAGAAGCAGAAACTGAGCTGAATGCCAACTGTATCAAAAGCTAGCTCAATTATAAAATGATTTCTAAATCAAAATTTGCATTAGAATAAAAAAATATCTATATATATATATATATATATATATATATATATATATATATATATATTACAAATTTGAGCAATTTATTAACAAGGGTAGAATAAGCATTAGCAGCAGTAGCTGAATGGTGGTTGAATGAAAATAGTCTGAGCATTATAAGTAGCAGTAGTAAAACTAGCATTAATATAATTAGCAATAATAAAATTAGCATTAGCAGTAGTACTAGAAATAGCATTACTATAATTACCAGTAGAACAATAAGTATTAGCAGCAGTACTCCTAGTATACATAGAAGCAGTAGTGGAATTAGCATTAGCAGCAGTAGTCTTAGCATTACTATAATTCAGTGGTTCTCAACACTGGTCCTTGAGGAACACCATCCTGAATGTTTTACTTGTTTCTCTGCTCCAACACACCTGATTCAGTGGTTTAATTACTTCCTAAATTCAGCAGAAGCCTGTTAATCACCCTTTCATTCAAATCAGGTGTGTTGGAGTAGAGGAACAACTAAAACATGCAGGATGGTGTTCCTCAGGGACCATGGTTGGGAACCACTGCTATAATTAACACTAACAGAAGCATTAGTAGCAGTACTCTAGTATAAATAAGCAGTAGCAAAGTTAGCATCGGCATCAGTAGTTTTGGGATTATTAGAATTGCCAGTAGTATAATCAAGATTATCAATTCTATTCCTAGCATAAATATAAATAGTAGAATTAACATCAGTAGCAGTAGCCTTCACATAATTATAAATACAAGTAGTAGAATTTGCATGAGCAGCTGTGGTCTTATCATTAAAATGACGAGTACTAGCAAGTACAGATATAGTATTACCAGAACCCTGAAGTAGATTAGAGGACTACGGTAAATGTTCAAAAGATGTCAAGAGATGTCAATTAAATTTTAGGATTTTTTTTTTTGTTAAATAATGTAAATATTTTGAAAAATAATAAATGAAAAGCAATAGCATTCATCATTTAAACAAAATGAACATTTTGATAAACCATTAAAATGACACAACGTATGCAGGTATAGTTAGATGCCAAGGATTCTACAGAAAAAAAGGAAATGAATAGTTTTAATGCTGAATCATTCCTTGAAGGAATGTACATCGCCTGCCGCCAGGTGAGCCGAAGTCTTAAATATTTTGTGTGATCTGTTAGCACTCAAGAGTATGTGCTGGGGATGACTCCCAGCTACTACCACACCAAGTTTTAGCTCAATACCTTAAAAAAATAAATACCACTTTTGAGTTATCTAAGGTGTAAGGAATAACTGAAGCAGCCATCTTGAATCAAATGTTATCACTTCATTCCAGGAGTACTTTTTGAGTTTCTTGAGCAGTCCATAAGATATTTTGCTAACAGATAAGCATCACTGTTGATCAATGCGTTTTAAAATGTGCTGACATTTGCATGGACTGCACCTGCTTTGCTTGTGTGATTAACATGGTTTGTTTGTTACATCCCTCCTCCACCATTTTAGCTTGGATCCGGGCCAGGTCAGTATTCTGCTCCACTGGTAAACGAACAAAAAAAGACTTCTGTCAAACACAAAGAAGCTCAAACGGATCCGGTGCTGCCGATTCGGGTGTCAGACCGTTGCTTTGCCAGGTTTTCTGGATGAAGTCGAGCTTTTCGTTCCGACCCTCCAGCGTTTTGATCTCCTTCTTCAGCTCCTGCGAGAAAATATTTTTCAGATTAGAAAAAAAAAAACGCAGCGCGGGGCCAACACTGGGCTGGCCCGCCAAAGAACAATCAGTGCTAACGAGACGAGTATTCGGGCTGCCATTTTGGAGAGTGTTTCTCTAGTTCAGTGAGAAAAATAATGACTAAAAAGGGTGTAAAGACAGAGTTTACCAATATCTTCCTCTTTAGATCGAAGACTTTGCTGTCCAACTGTCCCCACTTCTGAGGCATGGCCGACTTATCGTTGCAGCTCTGAAAAAAATTAACATGTTACCCATTTAAAAGTCAGAAATGTGTACTTTTTTTCACTCAATGTCTTTAAGGGACTCACCTGAGTAGCTGAATCAAGGATCTTCCTCTCCTCCTTCAGGCAGTCTGACAAAATTCTAGCCAAGTTCATCCAATCATCCTGGAAATGTTCCTTAAAAAAATAAAATGAAATTACCTAAAGTCTAACGAGAAGTTCTCAAGCCAAAGTTCAAAAACAATAAAATCCGTACCACCAAATAGTCCTTCATCCACCTAAAATCCGGCGCCTGCAGGATGTTGTTCTCCTGGACAGAACAGTTCCACTGTTCCTCCAAGTTGTCCAAAAAAGCCTGGTAACAAGTTCTCGCTGCATTCTCATCAACAGCTGCAGAATCCCTGAAACAAAAAGAGAACATTCAGGATTTAATTTGTGCACGTTTCATATTGACGATATAAACTATTTAACACCTTCAAAACCTCATCTGAGCTTTGACAACCCAAAGGCAGCAGGAGAGTTAAAATTAAACATTCAATTCAAAAATACTTTATTAATCCCAAAGGGAAATTATTTGTTGTTGTAACTCGTTATCCTCATTTCATTAAGAGATGTTATAGATACTGATGGCTGTAGGCAGGAAGGATCTCTTGTAAAGGTCCATCCCACAGTGGATCCTAAGAAACTGGTTGCAGATGTCGTCCGATCAGTCCACCCAGACTCAGCTGGCCTCTCGATTCCCCCGGGCTGTAGGACCGCCCGAATGCCGGGCAGAACTCCTCCCAGAGCGATGGCCACTCCTCCCAGCAGTCTGCCGAGCTCCTCATCACTGCGGACAGCCAGCTGTAGGTGCAGAGGGACGATCCTGTCCTTCCGCGGTCACGAGCCGTGTTTCCTGCTAGTTCCAGGATCTCAGTGGTCAGGCACTCGAGCACAGCTGGCAGGTAGATGAGAATGCATCTGCAGAACATCCTTTTCAACTCATTTGAGATTTGGGGCTGTAGTTGAGATATTATTTGAGCTTTTGAGATGTTAATCAGCTGGTTGGTTGTAGAAAACTGCCTTGTTGCCATGGTTACGCATCATAACAAATGTCCAAAACTAAAAAAGTTTCAGTAAAAATCCTTCCAGCTGCACAGCATCTGATACCAGAGGAAACAATCGTCCAAAAAATGTGATTTACATCCAGAAAAAGAGGAATTAAAGTTTCCAAAAGCAAAATCTCAGGATGAGCAGCACAATTCTAGAAACACGTGTAACAGGCAGGGTGTTATTTTTACATTATTATAGATGTGGGGTTTGTCAAAATTGGTTTATTTACTCTTCAACTTCACTTTGTTTAGTGAAAAAGTTATTTCTCCTGACATTTGTTGGTATACAAGTTATGCTGTGCTGCTCTTGACAGCTGGAGGTTACCATAGCAACCAGTAACTGACAACTTGTCTCCATTTTCTGTTGTCATCTGTAACTGTGGTATGTACGGTATTAGCTTTGTGTTTTCTTTACAAGTATTATGTTTTAATATTTATTTAATATATTTCCTAATCAACTTAAGAAGTGTGTCTTTTTAGTTGTAAATATGTGAAGATTATTTAAGAACAGATGGCAACCCAATTATGTTGTGAATTGATGCTAGCTAGTTGGCGCTAATCGCTATTAGCACCAGCTAATGTAGTAGTTTTTTTAACAAGTGCTAATTGAAGTTATAAACAAAGTCAACTTGGGTAAATATTTTCTTACAGGTTACATTTACAGACTTGCTTTTAATTTTTGCATCCTAAAGCAAAAATTCAGTCAGGTTTGATTTTATGATTTAAAACGTTGAAGGATGACACGGCTCATTTCCAACCCATCCACCCAATAATCTGTTCAAATACCCAGCAGTTCTTAGTGTGTGTAACTAAAATGACATGAAGTATTCCCAACATTGTAACAAATACGTTTCAGTAACTTCAGTTCCCAATTTATTTGTTTAAATATGTTTGAACGCTTCGAGTTGAATGGTTCCAGAGAATCAGTTCGAGTTTCACCAACCTATCAGGTTTACATCTGCATTCCTTCTGAAGGAGTTCTGTTGTTGTGCGTGGGTGCGTATGAACGGATTAACGAGAGCGCCGTAAAGCGCTTTGCAGAACCCAGATAGGTTAAAACACCTGTATCATTTAAAAATGGCCGCTGTGCATTAAGGTAAAAAGCTGGATCTGCTCTCGTGTTTTTCATCCAGAGCTGCAGAGACAGGAAGGATTTTAAATCCTGCTGCTTCCCTGGGGTCAAATCCAAGACTGAAATGTCAGGCCTTGACACTGAGCCAGATTACAGCCTCCTGACTCTGACCCAAGGGCAGCAGGAGGGTTAATCATCAATAGTCGGGCAATCCCTACCAGTCTTGTTTCTCAATCCAGTTGGAGACCCAGTGCCGGATTACTTTGGGGAACCGGCCTTCATATAGCTGCCGGACCTGGTTCTGGAGAGCAGAGTCCAGCTTCAACAGGTTCTGCCACTGCGCCATGCTGCGACTGAACTGCGACCGATCTGCGACTGAACCGGGTCACACTGAACTATCTGGAGGAAGATGAGATTTTAAACACTCCTAAAATGTACACCAAGTAAAACAAGCCAGAATAAAAATATAGTTTATATAGATGATTTAAACTGATTCAAAATAAACTTTAAAAACAAACATTTGAGGAAATTAAAAATATATATAAAAATTGCGCAATAAAATAATTTCCAAAACATTTCTCGATTAAAGTTTCGTTTTTTGCGAACAGAAAATGAGCAGTAAAGTCTTACCTTGAGACTATTTCTGGTCTGAACCTCGATCAGAGCGGATTACAGAGCAGATTACAGAGCAGATTACAGCTTCCTGGCAGGACTGGTCGCTTCATCTGAGAGAAGAGCGCGTTTTATGGGAGCGCCTGTTTTGATTTATCACGTGATTCTCCAGAAATGACTGAAATAAAGTGTCAAGTCAGGAATTAGTCAGCTTCTCACTTCCGTCTTCTGAGAATCGGTTTCAAAATAAAAGTCAGGAACTGGACAATTTAAAAAAAAAAAAAAAAAAAAACCTTCATGGTCACTGAAACTGCTGGGATTAAAGGGTAAAGCGCATGCGCAGGACAAACCCAGAACTAATTAGGCTGTAATAAACTGAACAAAACAAATGTTTGCATCATGTCAGTTTGAAAAATAAAGTTGTGAACGTATCCATCCATCGGTCTTGGAGGCAGCAGGTCCAGGATGAAAATCCAGATCTGGTGTTTCCAGGCCAGAGAGGATGTATAATCCCTCCAGCAGGTTTTGGGTCTGACCCAGAGTCTCCTCCTTGTGTTGATGCTTTAGTTTTTTGTAGACATGAGATTGTATGCTACATGCATGTTTCATGTCAAAATAAACACAAAATAAAGTCTTTAGGAAACTAACTTACCAAAACTAAGTATTAACCAAACAGTACACTTTGTTTATCCATATGCAACTGAAGGGATGTGAATAATGTTCTGAGTGAGTCACAAACAACAAGCGGGGGATTTCCATCTGAACGAGTGTTTCTGCTGCTTTTGCTGTTTTATCATTTTGTCGGCTTCATGCCCACACCGAGTTTCCTCAGCAACCATCTTTCAAAGAGACGTTCATGTTGGCAAAGGTGTAAAAACAGATGAAGACCTTCAGACAAGATTTAACCCTTGTTAGTTTGATGTGAGGAATGAACAGCACTGATTTAATAAGTAGGGAAGTGAGTCGATTCTTTTATTCTACAAAGTAAAACGATGATTTATTTCTTGTTTTTCTTTCCAAGCAGCGTGATCTTTTGATCAACACTTTCTGACGGTGTTTCAGAGTTTTTCTTGGTGCCTTTTCACCCAGTTTCACTTCTAGTTCCTGAACATTTTCACTATACTCTGACCCTCGAATTCATTCATTCATTCATTCAGCCTTAATCTACACACTCATTGATAAAAAAAATAAAGCTAATTAAATTGAGGGATTAACCGAAAACACACAAAATAAACTTTAAACTGGATCTTTGAGCTCCTTGTTCCCAGCAGCCGACCAGAGACTTCAGACGTTTTAATTAAATCGATGGAAAAACACCAGTTTGACATAAAATAAGATTTTAGCTCCATCAAGGCCTTAGCTGCAAACTTGATAAAGCTTCAGCTGCTGTTTGTATTCCTTGTTTTGTTTCCTCATGACGTGTAACTCAAGCAAACTTCTGCCAAGCTGTTGGTACACCAAACCCTCAAAGAATCACCTTGATGACCCAAAATACTATTTAACGTTTGCGTGTTATCTTTAGTCATTTTAATAATGCAGCTTCATTCTTTATTTTGCAGCTGCAGCTACAAATGGGAACAAATCGTCTCTGTCAGACTTAGAATACGTCAGGTAAGGTTAGGTCTGCAGAAAGTTAAAAGATTACAGGTAAGTTTGGATCATTGGAAGGAAAATGTAAAGAAATATCCTAAATCTGTACAAAACAAACAGTTTCCTGCTGCCTTTAATGGAGGACAGGAAGAAACAGCAGAGACAGCAGCCCTGGCTCTTTTCCAGGGGAACTCAAGAGTCACGTGATTCTCCAGAAACTCCTTTATCAGTTCTGAAAAACTGTGAGATAGTCTGCAGACACTTCCTGTCTGACTGCTACCAAAATAAAAGCTCCAAACTTCACTCTATGACCAGCTGGTGGCAGCGGTTAGACAGATGGAAACTAAGAACCAAACTGAAGTTAAAATGTGCATAAACAGATTTACATGAACTACAGGTTTTTATTGTTTACATACAGTGATTTTATACACAAACATTCATTAATTTGAAGGAGGGTTTTGGGCCCAAAATGTCCCAGCATCATCCATCCATCCATTATCTTTTACCCGCTTCTTCCGTTTTGGGTCACGGGGGTCGCCAGTGCCCATGTCCAGCAATCACTGTGCGAGGGGCGGGGTACACCCTGGACGGGTCGCAAGTCCATCACAGGGACGTCCCAGCATCAAATAAATCCAATTATTGGAGGCTTTCATTTAAAGCAGACTTTTGCTTTTACATTCCAAACAATAAAAACAAACCGACATGAAAAATATATTTCAGGAACATTCACAGGTATTAAAACAAAAAACAAGATTTAAAAAAAAAAAATCGATAAATCCAGTAAAAATATATATATATATTTGAACAAATCTGACTCTGTCTAACGATCATCCAGGTACAGACGCTGAGCAGAGGTGGGTTTGTGGAAGCTCTGAAGGTTAAAAACTGTTCAAGTCGCTTCACTCTGAGTACGGAGAGCTCATCTGTGAAACAAACAGGGCATCAGGAGAAGGCTTTCATGTAAACAAAACAACATATTTGAAGATTGAGCATTTTGAATATTTATTATACAGATTTAGTATACACTTTTGCTATTTTAAAAGTAAAACTAACAAATGATTAGTTTTGATTCCATTTTTTTTTTTTTACTTTACATAATAAGAGCAACAATGAGGCTCTTGGATGTGTTTTTATTGTTATGTCTAAATGATGGATACAATATTTTGTAGCAGGATTAAATTAATGTTTGTTTTCGTTTTTTCTGTGAGATTTATGGACAGAATGACAGAAGTACAAACGTACGGTGTCGATGTCGAAGCACAGGTTCTCACTGAGCATGTCGAACTCTCCGGGGGTCATCGGGGGTTCAGGAGACGGACAGGAATGGGGCGTGCTGCTCGCACTGGAGCTGGAACAACACGACAAAGATCATATAAGTTAGGGAACGTCCTCCTTTTTTAATAATCATGTCTCCATCTGTTACCAACTATTCCGTTGATATGAAAAAATACAATGTTCTGTATTCTTCAGCCTCTAAACCAACATTTAGTTGACATGTTTTAGATTTTACAAACAAGTGCAACTGAACTTCACCTTATAAAGCATAGCCATTATGCATTAAAAATAGGTTTATGAGTAAAAGTTATAAATACATAATTAATATCTAACCTGATTACCTACCTAATAACCACACAAGATTTTGCCATTTTAAAACTTCCATCTTGAAACTTTTACAAAGGTTAATGCAAACGCCAAAATTAAACCATCACATTACTGTCAGTTTCCCACTATGTGGGTATTTCAGAAGATATAACTACATTTCTGCCATATTTTATCCCAGAATGCACTGGAAGTGCTAAGTCTAGTTGCTGCTGCGCTCACAAGTAACCATAGATAGACTAGTAGTAGTAACCATAGATAGACTAGTAGTAGTACCATATATAGACTAGTAGTAGTAACCATAGACAGACTGGTAGTAGTAACCATATATAGACTAATAGTAGTAACCATAGATAGACTGGTAGTAGTAACCATAGGTAGACTAGTAGTAGTACCATATATAGACTAGTAGTAGTAACCATAGACAGACTGGTAGTAGTAACCATATATAGACTAATAGTAGTAACCATAGGTAGACTAGTAGTAGTAACCATAGGTAGACTGGTAGTAGTAACCATAGGTAGACTGGTAGTAGTAACCATAGATAAACTGGTAGTAGTAACCATAGATAGACTGGTAGTAGTAACCATATAGATAGACTGGTAGTAGTAACCATATATATATAGACTAATAGTAGTAACCATAGGTAGACTTGTAGTAGTACCATATATAGACTAATAGTAGTAACCATAGGTAGACTAGTAGTGGTAACCCTAGATAGACTGGTAGTAGTAACCATAGATAGACTGGTAGAAGTAACCATAGGTAGACTAGTAGTGGTAACCATAGATAGACTGGTGGTAGTAACCATAGATAGACTGGTAGTAGTAACCATAGGTAGACTAGTAGTGGTAACCATAGATAGACTGGTAGTAGTAACCGTAGATTGGTAGTAGTAACCATAGGTAGACTAGTAGTGGTAACCATAGATAGACTGGTAGTAGTAACCATATATATAGACTAATAGTAGTAACCATAGGTAGACTAGTAGTAGTAACCATAGATAGACTAGTAGTAGTAACCAAAGATGTGAAAATAAGGATGGTGGCCACGACCCTCTTGAACTAGCAGTTAGCTTGTAAATCCAATCAAAATTAAACTGTTTCTTCAAGATGAGCTCATTCAAAGAGCTATCTACAGCAGGTAAGATGTTTATTATTTCTGACTTGTATAGAGAGCCAAAGTTTAAGGATGATATTTAGCTGTTTTTGCTCGACTGTTTCAATCAACATAATCAAAAACGTGTCTTCAGGTCTTGGCAGGGTGGTATCTAGGTAGTGTTGTGGTCAAGACCACCTAACCCGAGACCAAGACAAGTCAAGACCAGAGTGTACCGAGACCGAGACAAGACCAAGACTTTTACAGTATATTTACTTTTTGAACACAAACCCACATCAGTACAAGCCAAGGTAATTTAACAATATGTGGCAAAACGGAACAGTCCAACAAAAATCTTCCCAGAGTTCCCAGCAAAATCAGAACGAAAACTGGCCAATTGGCAGTAAACCACCCAATCTGGCAACACTGGAGTGGTAACAAAAACAT